ATACTTTCTCTGGGGTTACCGGGCTTGCTGCTCTCGAGGGTTCTGCTGAGACGTGATCTAGGGCGTCACTGAATCCTCCTAGATTAAGATTTTGATCGTCGATGTCAATATCTCCTTCCCGATCTGGGTTGAAGGATGCTGTCTTGTATCGTTTGGCGTCGCACTAGGTGACGCTTTGTAATGTAACAATTCCTCTTTAGATAGTTAGTGCTTGGCGATGGGGAACGATACTTCTCTTCCTGTCTTTCTTCTTCTCTTTGTCTTACAATAGCTCTAGGCCTCTGCCTACGTTACCGATAGTACAAGACCTTTGTCTTCTACTAGGAACCCCTATCGTAAGCTTTCTCTAACTCTTCTTCATAAAGCTCCTTCCTTGGCGTAACGATAAAGTTGCAATAAAGGTAAAGATCGTAAGGGTGTTTTATATTCGTTAAAGTAATAAGTAGGAAAAGTACTTAGAACAAAGCGTGAAGAACCTATCTTCCTCGGCCGCATCGGCCTCCTTATATAGTGTTCTTCCTGCCTTTAGTCATGTGACCTAAAGTGGTCACATGTGCGAAACTAAATCATAACAAACTAGTCATATGACCAAAGTGATCACATGCTCAAAACCCATAACCTCATAGCGAGGTCATGTGCAAAACTCATAAACCAATCATAACGCAATAAACAAGTCATATGACTCGACTGAGTTATGTGCATGAAACCCATTACATGATAATGAGGTCATGTGCGAAACATAAATCATATGCGCAAGGCTTGCCTGTAAGGCACACTCGTAAGGCATACTCATCAGGCGCATGTCCCATGACTCATACTTAAGCCATGTGGGAAAGCATCACAAATCCCAGACATAACTAATCATATAACCCGAATAGGTCATATGCGTGAAACAATAACATACCTGTGACTGATAACTATGTGTCACGTGAAAAACCCTTTCCTCGCTAAGCCACGTTCGTGACAATGGGTGACAGTAGTGGAGGATGGCACGCCCGGTCACAAGAAATATGCCATTCAGTACCAGAATCTCAATCATATTGAAACTACATGATGGCCAGCACAATCTCTAGATTTGAGATTGATAGAGGTGCTATGGCTAGACATGGAGAATGAGTTGGGTGAGACATGGAGTAGAATTGGTAATATGGCAATTTTGAAATGTACTCTGAACACTATTTGGAATGCAATTCCTACAGAACAGTTAGAAAAACTTATTGGAACCATGCCAGACCGTTTGCAAGCTGTTATTGATGCTGATGGGGGGGGGCAACTTGATCTTGATTTCTGTATTTAGACTTATTTGTCTTTACAAATTGTACTCATCGGATATCACTCTTAGGGCTCCCATCTTCCACACTGGACCTGACTTTTTGCCGACACCAAAAAAGCACTCACCGGTTATCACTCGTATTTCCTAACCTGGTTTAGGCTACATATAAATGCCGCAACCTTTTTGGAAGTGGACCCGACTTTTGTCAACCCCCTAGTACACCGGTTTTTCTGCCCCCTGAGCAGTAGGAGAATCTTGTCCAAAATCAACCCAACTAATTCCTGCGCTGTACTTACTACTTGTCCCAGGCAAGAGGCGTTCGAAAACGGGAGTCGTGATTTTGTCTGGGCGCTCATACACGCACGAACCTTTTACCATATACTGTACCCGGGTACCGTATGGAGGTTAGTGATGGGGCGGGCAGGGTACGGGTGGTCAAAGATATATGTGCATAGCGCGGGAATCCATATAAGTAGATACGCCCTTGGTTACCCATCCCCTGTCAGTCCCATCACTAACCTCTACTTGTATGCCCTGGAATTTTGCAAACACCTCTTTTCGAATTTCGGTACTGATATCATACCTCTTTCCTGGGACAAGCATATTTTTCATGTGATGGTATGGGAAAGGCGCTGTACTCATACTCGTACAAGTACCTGCAAAAATGCATGGTCTCGAAACGGTTTGCCCTGCTCTTAATTAACAACCTGTCTCGCTTCCAGATATTGTAACACGGGACTAACTGTATTTGCAGTAATTATTGTAACCTATTATCCCGCATCGGTTCGGCTAAGGACCTTGTATCGTTTCGGATCAACGCCCTGTTGGAGGGGATATCAACATTCGACGCTTGGCGCATCGTGCGTGCAAACTAAACGACCCCCAAAAGACCGCACTAACTCTCATTTAGACTAAGTTTTGTTTGGAATCTTGTCAAGTGTCCGGGTCTATGGTACTCGAGATTAGCAGGAGTTTCATGCGGGCTTCGGACCCGGCATTAATAGCTGTTACCAGTATTCCAAGTCCCTTCTCTGCAAGAAAACTCTACTAGTCTACTTGAGTGCCGTGTTCGGGTACTGCGCTCCACTGGGTTAAATTTTATGCGCGCAGTACGATAACTGGGGCAAGTGCTAACTTACCTCCATATATCGTTGGATTAAGCCTCCCTTGGTAAGGTCTCGTGGGGTTTTTGTCTCTCGGGCTGAACAGCTCTCTGGTTTTTGCAGTGTTTTCACCCCCTTTCCGGAGTGCCTACAGGGAATTGTACTAACTTATCGGTACCGTAGTCGTACAGTAGTACAAGTACTACAAGTAGTGCTCGAGCACATAGCACGCGGTCGGTTACCGGCATTTGAGATTTCAGCACTGGTATTCGGGTAGTGAAACTGTGATTAGGACCCGGGAGTTAGGCACATTATTGTACGAGTACTTATATTTCTTCGGGAGGGGCACCCTACCGCCTGAATGTTTTGTGCCGCATCCCCTCCACTTGTACGGTGCAGTAAAGAGCACTTTGACTGTTGCGGAAAGATTTAGCTGACTACTGTAGTAAAATACTCCGTAGCAATTCTGGACAGACCCTTGTGGGATCATTCACTTTTCGAAATTATATGGAACAAGTCACAACAAATGAATGTATCGTGGAAATTTAGTCTGGTTGGGATGTTGAAACAAGTGGTTGATCATCTCTTAGGGGCAAATTAGCGCCTTTCAAATAAATTTGGTCACACCATGAGATGGATAGGACAGGACAAAGCAGCTTATATAATCCATATAGCGGCTCATATTGGTTAGGTTTCAAACAATCAGTCCCATGGTCTGAACGCCCAGCCATGTGATCGCCAAACACCCTCTTAGTACCTCGTATCGAATTCCCCGGCTCCTCCTGTACTCGAGTAAGTTGGATGAATTTGCTGTCTCGGGGTTCCTCAGGGTTGACCTACGGAAACCTGAGTTTGGTAGGACCGACGGATAGGAACATGGCAGATTTTATTGGACGAAAGTGTCTTTCATACTACTCAGTACGGTACTTGGATACCATTCCGCTTTGGGGTACCGTGGGACACTAGAGATCGGAGAAACCTGGGAGTACTCGTACAAGTACTTGTAAAATACAAGTAGTTCAGGCTATGGAATAGCTTATAATTGCTTTGCGGGAGGTCGTATTCTCTAAGACGGACTTTAACGCCCTGTCAAAAGCGCGCGCGGGGTAGGTGGGCGGGTCGGCTAATCAGTTGCTTGGAATTCTGCCGTCTAGCGATTCGAAGACTTCCGAACCTGGATGTTGCGAAACAATGGAGTTGAGAAACTGTTTAAAATATAGTACAAGTACTTTGCCCTAGTACGGTACTGTACTCGTACTATCGATTGCAGGGGCATATGTTTAATACGGCATACCATCTCACACCCTCGATTGGAACCTTTGACCTCGCCCGCATTAAGATATTATGTTTATCTTTGCTCCTCCGAACCGCTGAATATTGGCGAAGGAAGCCGTGACTCAAGATTTTCTGGGATTTTTTCTTCTTCTTTAGTTTTTCTAGCTCAATTATTGGGGCAGATATTGTGGAGTTGATATTGTGCCAGATTAGGGTGTTTGAGTGTCTCAACCCTACGAATATGTATCCTTATTGGAAGGAGGTACGATATGAGAAAAGAGTAACCATTTCAGGCGAGCAAACTCTACCAGGAATGGGTGTGCCAAAGCCTTAGAAAGGAAATGAATATACTCCTCGCTCAGACTTATTTTCCGAAGATTTTTTCCATCGAATTGTGGGGGTATGGTCGTATGGAGTGGGTTGAAGGTCCTGTTTTTCTGTGGTAATAATTTCTTGGTGTGGATGAGGTCAAAGATCGAAACGGATGGTATTCGATGGTACTTGTATATTACTTGTCCCGGGCAAGACAAGTACTCGTACGAGTACAGTAGTACCGGTATTCGAAAGCAGGGGTTGGCAAGATATATCACAAAAAGTCAGTGCGTACATGAGCTTCTAGACAAAATCACGACTCGTATTTCCTAATCCTTCTTGCCTGGGAATAAGTGCTAGCAGACGTATATCCCTGCAATCGATAGTGCCTTAACCCTTCTCTCTATGGAATTTCACTTGGAGTGCTGCTCTCAGCTTGTGCGGTGCAAATCAGGTGAGGGGCACCTGTACTACGTGTATTGGCTGGACATTAGTTTGCCTTCTGAGGTGTATATAACACGGGTGTGCCTCTCTCCATCTGCAACTCCTCACGGCGCTGTGTCTTCCACATTCCCTACAGTCTATCTTCTCCTGCTCGAGGCTCCTCTCTTTCATTATTTATCTTCAACTCACTTTTTGTAAATTTTAATTTACTCTCTTGGACTGGCATCCTTCGTTTTTGACAAACGCCTTAGCCCTACACGACGCGAAGCTTTCCACCCTCTGTGTACCCTGCAATCAGATTATCCCTGGTGTGTCGGCGTGC